TAGGAAGAGACGAAGAACAATTATGGTAGATTATACTTGGTCAGTTGGGGATAACGTTGATGCATGGATACAAGAAAGGTATAATTATCTAGTTTTCAAGGGATGATAGGATGATGGAAACTGGTGTTTATACTTAGTCATTATGACATTATGTTATATTCCATAACCCATGTACTATGCATTACACATATAATTGTTGTTGCAGTTAGCTTACATTTGGTAGTTTTTTTCATCAGCTGGCAGGAAGGAGTTATTACAGATAAGAACAAGAAAGATGAAACAACATTAACTGTTCACTTTCCATGTATGTACATTATTTTATTTGATCTAATGTTGCTATATATTGTGCTTGATAATTTTTAGAACCTGCTTCCTGGAAATACATATTCTAATTGGCCTTTTGCAGCTAGTGGAGAAACATCATTTGTCAGAACTTGGCATCTCCGTCCATCCCTTATTTGGAAGGATGGGAAATGGATTGAGCCTTCGAGGATGGGAGCAAAATCAAGTTCTACCCATGAGGTACATTTTCAACTACTGATCTACTTGACTTCATGCTTGTCCATGCTGAGCTTTACATTTTGCTTGCAGGGCGATACACCAAATGAAAAACGGCCTAAACTGGGTAGCCATGCAGTAGAAGTAAAAGGGAAAGAGAAAATTTCAAAAGGAGTTGATGCTGTAGAGCCAGTAAATGATGGTGTCTCTAGCTTACTTAATTTAGCTGAAAATGAGAAAGTTTTTAATGTTGGCAGTAAGAATGAAAATAAACCCAACGCACAGAGAATGGTGAGGAGTGGTCATCAAAAAGAGGGATCAAGAGTGATTTCTGGGATTCCTAAACTTGGGAAGAAAAGGAAATATATGGATGTAAGCAAGCATTATGTTGCAGGTGGGACAGGAAAGATTAATGATGGAAATGATTCAGTTAAGCTTGCGAATTTCTTGATACCTCGAGGTTCAGGATCACGGAAAACTGATGCCAAAGAGAAAGTAGGGGCTGACACAAAACTGAAGACCTTTAAGTCTGGAAAGCCAATGACTGCTTTTGGTAGAGTGATCCCACCAAAAGAAAACTCTTTATCAAAGACTCGTTCTAATGATATGATAAGTCGTAGAGGGATCAAGGATTCTCCTAAGAATGCATCTGTGAGTTCATCACATTCTGGAACCAGTGGAGCTGTAGGGGGATCAATCTTGTATTCGTCGCATGCAACTTCAGCTGATTCTCAACCCACTAAAAAGGCATCCACATCAAGGGCAAGTGAAGGAAAACTTGCTCCTGCCGGTAGGGCTTTGGGTAAGGTTGAGGCGGAGAGGGCTTTGGTGAAATCAACATCGGAAGTTGTGGAGCCTCGTAGATCCAATCGTAGGATCCAGCCAACGTCAAGAGTAAGTGCATGCCTGCCTTGTTATAATCTCAAATGATTAATGATTTTTTTTATTCCAATTTTGAAGAAGTGAAATCAGCCATTTTTAACTATCTGACATTTCTTTAAAAAAAGTAAAAGTGTAATTTTACATTTGTTTTGCGCCTAATGTGGGTGACTCTGGGTTGGCAGCTGCTTGAAGGATTACAGAGCTCTCTAATTATCTCAAAGATTCCTTCCGGTCCTCATCATGACAAGGGTCACAATACTCATAATCGTAATGCTTCTAAGAGGTGAGAATCTAAATATAGTTTTCCTCTGCCTTGGTGCAATAGGAAGGTACAGCCTTATGACTTGGAGGTCATGAGTTCAAATCCTGAAAATATTATCTCCGCCTGCGAGGGCAATGTGATGTAAATCTTTCCCTCTATTGATCTAACCAGGTGTGAGCATCATACACCGACCCCCTTTTTCCTTGAATTGCCTGCTTTTATTGCTTGATGAATCTATTTTACACTTGAACTAATTGATTTATTTTAACACAGGTAATAACCAAGGTTGAAAGGAGTTGCAATGGTGCTTTTTAGTTGAAAGACCAAGTGTCATTAAATTACCTCAACATATAAATGTGTACATTTTATAATAGAGAACATAGGAATGAAAATTCTTGCTTCCTTGGGTTTAGGAAGAGACTATTCTGGTAGATGTTCATGTTGATTTAATCATATTTACATTATATATGATCCCCCGCACTGTAAGCTGTATATGGAATTTAAATTATCAATGTTGACTGGATTGTAAAGGTATATGATACATTACAGTTTGGTGATGATATATTACAGAACACCATATATGATATATTAAAGAGTAGTAACTAAGACCAAGTTGCTGAAAAACATTATGACTTATTTGTTAACATATATAATAATTTATATCAAAAAACCTTTTCTGACATGGAAGCTTCTAGGAAGGTGCCTTTTGGGCTTTTGATTTATTATTGTAGGACTAGGTGTCAAGTTATAGTGAGGGGTTCCAAAATTAAGTTTGCTTGGAAATAAATTTACTTGCCATCATAAGTGTCATTAATTTACTTTGTAGGACTGTGTCAATTTGCTTGTATTAATACTTTATAGGAGTAAATGTTATAGGACTATTATTTTAGAGGAACAGGTAAACATGGATATACTACTGATGAAAATATACTACTAAGCTTAACTTCAAAATAATAATGCAAATATATTTAGCGTGTTACCTAAAAATATACAGAAATAATAATGTTCTAGATGGAGGCTAACTAGAATTGCTTTGTCATTGTAAAATGAATTGAGGATATATTTCTCATTTGTTATCCCTAATTATCAAGTTTGTGTTAACATTTTTAATTTTTAACTGATTAGATACTTGGATGTGTGTGCAACTATGGATCATTTGAAACATGATATTGATAAATGGGTTATTTATTATTTATTATCATTAATATAATATATAATTATATATGATATTATTACATTGTCCAGTCCGATTAGATGAGCTAATCAATTAAACAGGTTAGAATCTATAGATGACTTCTTAGGGGTTAATGTTTGGCTGGGGTTTATAACATTCCATTAAACTAAGATAACATTATATATAATTAATAATTATTACTTACAGTTACATATATCCACTTGTTTGGATCGAAATAAAGCAAACTATTAAGTAAAGTTTTCACTTTTTTTCTTTTAAATTTTGGTGAAATGTTTAGTTCATTTCTCCAATTAATCTAATTTAGCAAGATTTAACATGATCGAAACAAAATTTTCATGGTTCAAAATAGTCAAACCGTCGTTCCATTAATATTGTGAGCTTGGGTTATTTATAAGTCTAATGAGCAGTTAGACGATCCAATTCTGATATAGGAGTAAAATAGCCTATAAAATATTACATAAAATGTGCAGCCATGGCTTATACCCTATTGTCCTATACATGATCTAGAGTCATCCACAAATATGAATGATCTGAATCTCCAGCAACATAAGTAAGCATCCACAACTCTATCATTTCTTTGTCAAAACTTTGATCTAAAGTTACTACAAGGGTCATGATTGGTGAGTTTGAGTATAAAATGAACATCTACAAGTGTATTACCACTGATTAGTTATTGAGTACTTAAAACCATTTTAACTAATCACTGGTGGATACCCTTTTACTTTATCAATGTACACTCAAGCTCACTTTAAAGGAAACCTTTTCCTTCATCAAATGTTGGACCCTCTCCCACTTGGTTTATGTAGTATGTCACTTTCTTCATTTCCTCCATCCATTATGGAGTCTATATCCATTGTCATGTTTCTAGTAGTAAGTTTCGCTCAGTTCTTCATCGATGAAGGGTTTATCGCAAACACAGGAGCTGGGATATTCATGAAACTCTCCTTTTCCAGGTTTCATCTCATCTGGTTCTCCCATGAATCCTCTTTGGCATGCCTTAACTTTTCTAGCGAACATATCCCAATCCAGTTTATGCCTTTCCAACAACAGTGCACTAAGCCTCTTTGCATTTGGTCTGATGGTTCTTTTGTGACCCATATACCTCCTATTATATACAAAATGATATCAGCAACATAGTTGATATACACTTTAACCAAAAAGTGGTATATTTATAAGGGCCAAGAACAAAAGGCTGAAGTTTTTATGTTCTTACCTTCGACCAGCGAGAATCTTGGCCATGTTAGTTAGTGACAAATACATTGCTTTCATCACAAACAATGTAGTCAAGAGCAGCAAGGCGGGAAGAGAACGGAAGAAAAGGTTTCAGCTCTTCTTCGGCAAGCATCTCCTTTGAATACATGTTGGGGAAAAGTGATAATACTAGGAAGAGGTCTATTATTAAAAATATATATAAAAAGGGAAATAGAAAGGTTTGGGGGAAGAATTACTAAAGTACCCCTGGCTGTTTTAATTCTATTTTAATTAGTAGTTAGTAGAGAGTTAGGACTATATATAGAGAATAAACCTAAATAAGAGAAGGGAGGAGGATTGAGATTTTGCATCTGGTCGTGGGACCAAGGGTGAATTCATCAATTCTTGTAATACACATTCTTTCTCAATAATTTCATTGATATACAATCTAACCTAGAATCATATTGATTTGGGTTGAGGCATTATTTTACACTTGCGATTCTTTCTTCTTTCTTGCTGTTCACATTTTCTTTTCTTGCTAATTGGTACCAGTGTTATCAAAAAGATCTTTGAGAGGCTTCATGGTCTCATCCCCACCATATATCTCTCCTGATGCAACATAGAGGTATGTGTCATTTGTAAAACCGAGTGCACCGAGCATCAAACCCACTTCATGAGGAGTAAGAGGACATTTCCCATGCTTTCGCTCTTCATCAGGGTAAGGTAAGGGCCCATGCATTTGATATCAGTATAGAACTGGTTTTAACTCTGAGACGCGCATCACATCGGAGAAAAAAGGTCAAAATGTCATCAACTCATCTTTCATCCAATTCAAATGATAAGATCTATCATCAGAAGTCAGAGGATTGAAATCATACGGGCAACGTTGTCCACCTTTTTCTGATTTCACGAAGCTCGAGTCTTTCTTTTTCACCCCCACCAAAATAACAACCTGAAAATGCCAGCATATCTGGCTCAAACCTGGCATAAATCATTCTAACTTATCAGTTATGAGAAACCATGCATTGTATAGAGGCAGTGGCCATAGTTCAAACCTGCCATATGGTTATTATTAAGTTGCACCAGAAAATTCACGTTTTGAAATCGTTCATGTACAATCAGTTTCAGAAAACCATTAAGGGGTTGTGAAAAAGGGAAATGAAAACCAACCAGATTGGGAGAGCTAAAAGATTAAAAATATATACACAGATTATATGATTAGGAGACGCGTAAGAGTGAGAGGGAACAAAGTAAAGAAAAACAGTTCTCATATGTATGGAAATTAAGTTATTTGGTGCCAACTCAAATCACTTTGCTTTAGATGGAATTTAACTTTAAACTTTATAATCAGGTTTCATTGAACATACCTTAAATGGACAGCAATAAAACGGTTTGCCATTTTTCGCATTCTAATAACAAGTTTTTAACTAAGTTGTCGTATAGGCTTTGTAAATCTCAAGGCATGATAATTAACACGGCAACGTAACTTTTGTAGCTCATCGTCAAGGTCATTTGCAAGTCTATAGTCAAACTTTGTCAATTGCAAAACATGCAAAGTTACCCAAAAGTCAGTTACCATAATTCACATGAACCAGTAATGCATCATGACAATCCTTTACAGAATGAATTCATCTATTTATATAATTTAGAAATTTCAAACATGCATAGATCATAAGAAGTGCCCTTACCTGCCGCCTCAAGAATATTGGCAAAACTTGATCAAGATAATATCCAGGTTCTGACTTCCTTGGGACACACATTGTATATGGGGGTTTCTCCATTGACCGCATGACCTTGTCAGGAACTCTTTTAACAATAGGAATATCTTTTGCGAGATAAGTGATAAACCAATTAACATCGAAAATATTGAGGAAGTCACTGTATTCAAACAAAAGTGTTTTTTACCAAATGAAGTGGTAAGTTTAGTCTTTATTATCATCAACTCTAATCTAATCTAACTATGAAGCAAGGAGACATCATTTTGATTCTCCATGTCAAACACACGATGACAAATGTATGATATGCGTGTCTTACTTGTCCAATTAAAAAAATATTTTTTCAGCTTGGACATGGACAGACATGGATATCACAGGACATTATCATTTTTAAATTGAAAAGAAAGAGGAAAAACCATGTCCTACATATTTAGGAATTTGGTGTGTCCATGTCCATGCTTCATAGAATCTGAGTATGACGAATGTATGATAGGATTGGATATCTATATTACCTATCATCCTTCCAAAAAGAATGGTGATCCAACTCAGGTAAAACCAGTGTAGCATTAAGGATTCGTGCAACAACAACAGCATCCGTTATCTGGAGGCAAGAACATGATTGTCATTTCCACAGAAAGAACTTGCTAATTTACTATATAAAAATGACAATATAGCATATCATAAAACTTATGTCCAACTTACCCCAGTTCTTTGTTGGTTCAATCCTCCACTTGTTGCAATAAGCAAGTAGCCATTTGACTTGCGCTCGTGCACAGCAGCTACATTATCCAGTTACCCAAAGAAGATAGAAAATGACATGTGGAAAAGTTAGTATGTCGTTCAGCACTTAAGACCAATCTTAAGGAATGCAATTGTCAAGAATTAAAACAAAATACATGATAGAATCCTTCAATTTTTTCATGATTCACCAAAGTCACCATATATTAAACCTCATACAACTGAATGGCACTGTATATATTGCTTAAATTGGAAAAAGTGTTTGAGACAATAAAAAATTTCAAGACATCTCCTTCACATGCACAGGACACATGTTTAAAAGCACAAAAAGATGATATAGTACAGGGTTCAAAAAATGGGCATATCATTAAAATTTTGCTAACTCTTTAACAGTGCCACATATGCACAAGCAGCAACCAACAATGTGTTGGCTAAATCCCCAGGATGACCAAAAGGTCAAGGGTTCGATTCTTGGGAACGACACTTGTTGGGAGGGGCCAAAAGGAATTAATTCATTACCCAAAAGGTGAGGGGATACCTTGGTAGTACTAAACAAAATATGCACAGGCAGCATATCACCATAACTACAACGCTTTTCCACAACAGTCAAAGTAGAATTACTTTTGTCAGATTTTAGTTGTTGCTAAGAACAATAAAATTCTATATTTTAATGTAACAAGCTTAAAAACTTAGTAAGCTTTAATTTGATGGGGAGTGTTAGAATATATAAAAGTATCTCAAAATATCTTGAATTATATTATAGAGAATATCTAGAGGATACTTAGATATAGAGAGTATCTCATATTATGATGACTATATATTAGATTCGCTTAGAGTATCTTAGAACATCTCTTAGAATTGAGATTAGTCTTTTATTTTGTTTACTTGTTTAATTAGGAGCCTAGTATTAGTATAAATAGGGGTTAGTGTTATGTCTTTCGTATAACATCACATCAATACATTTGACACAGGCCCAATTTAATATTAATATTTTTTTGCTCCGATACAGCTAATGATATTATGACCATTTTAATCTAACTTTTCAATTTTATATGCCATATCAGTGGCTGTGCCTTTGCGTGTCTTTCTGTGTCATGTGTGACAGCGTATATGCTTCATGGTAGAAGAGAACTGCAGAACTCAAGTACATTACCCAAGGGTTCTGCAAAGAACATGAAGTAAATGGTAACTCTTATTATACTCACTCAGAATCCCACAGCAAGGTAAGTAGACTAAAACAACAAGTTAAACATGAAACGGAAAACACGAGAAAAATCACTGTTCCTTCTGCCTTCTTGGTCTTTACATCATGTACTGCACTCTTAATCTTCCAAATCCCTAAATTAATTGTTCCCCCTCTCTTACTGTCACAATGTTGATTTTGATGGTTGAGGCTCAAGACCAGGTTAATGAGAAAACATGAATAAGGGTCTCCGAAGCATACAAACTCAAGGCGAAGTTGCAATGATCTCTAGTATAAATCTACTAATTTCATACCTAAAAGTAGAGAAGAAATTTGACAGCGGAGTAAAAGTAATAACAGCAAGTACCAACATGAATTCTTAAATGGCACACCAATTAAAATTTTCTAAAATTATTATTAGCTTATAAATCTCGTATAACAGTCATTAACACTACAAAAAGACAACGGCTCAAGTTTTGAAACCGGGAAACTGAATTATAATCATCTTCCTATATCCTTCTATCTTCTCATCTAATAATCTTTCAATTTATATAAATAAAAAATGAATTACAATACATTAAAGAAATTGCATTTCAATGTACTTGTTTGTTACCAGCTATCAAACAAGAAACAAAAGGTGGTGAATTTAACTTACAAGCAAAACTTCGTCCTCTTTCTTTGCATCCATAGTAGTATTTAGAATATTGTGATTTCCAAATATCAATTGGGGCATGGCCATTTCCATCCTACAAAGATTTACATCAATTACACTACAAGTTTAGTTAGCATACAGATTTAAAAAAAATGAAATCACAATGGCAACAAAAAAAAAGAGTAAATCCTCGATTTAGTCTCCAAAAAAATAAACATTGATACTATCAATCCTAATTTTAGGAAATTGACATACTACTATACTAGTCCTTGAAATTGTAAGGATCAGTCATATTAATCCTTCGTATTAACCATTGTTCAGTCAAATTAGTTCTTAAGAAGGGAGCCCAATGCTCGAGGCTCCCTCTAAGGAGGGTAGATAAATGCAACCTTACCCCTACAAGCGAAGAGGCTAGTTCCATGATTAGTCAAATTAGTTCTTAATGAGGATGAATTTTTTGGTCTTTGACCGGGTATCCCACAGACATAGCTGGAGACTAATCTTCCTACTGAAGGCGGTGCTTAGGTAAAACATACCCCAAAGTAGCAACTTCGAGATTGAATCTGACTTGTGGGTAATGTTCATCCGGGAGCACTGTCCACTTTCGCTGCGACCAACCACTGTTGTGTCAGTATGGATCAATTTAGAGGACAAACTAGAATGACATGTAGCCTAGTTGGTAAGCTCTGGGAACATATAATGTGAGGTGTGGATTTGATCCCTACAAATACTCTTTATATCAATTTCCCTCCCTGGATCCTATTAACTGGGGCATCTAAAGGCCTAACTAGGGGACCCCTCCACCAGGCCCACAGGGTGAGTCTAAAGTTTAACATAAGGGGAATGTTAATCACCGTCTCAATTGTAGAAATTTTGTATTGGAAAATGTTGCATTTAGTATATTTAAAATCTGTTTTCCAATGCAACACTCTCTTTTTTAATTCCTTAAGGCCCCTTACCGAAAATGGCATGTTACATCTCCATGCACTAATCCATTATCTTACTTCAATTATTGACTAATATGACCGGTGCTTACAATTTTGTGGACTGAGATGAGCAAGGGCTGAAGTAGGTTAAGAAAAAAGGGATGGTTCCCATTTCCCCCCTCCAATATTTTTTTCACCTCGTGCATGTATATATATGTCAAGGTTTTAAAAAACAGAACGAAAAGGACAATACGGCCAAAACATAACGGAATCAGCCACTCCCAACATGAAACGGAACTTATCGGTATGAACAGAAATCACACAAATTTGCCACAACGGAACCAATATAACAGCGTTACAGCCACAATAGGGCGCCATCATCTCTCTATGCTCCTCATGCCGCCATCTCAGACTCTCAATTGACTTGATTCACTTCACATAGTGCGTACATGCCGGCGACATCGAAAGTCACTCCATCGTCGGAGACATTACGTTGCCCATCTCCATCGTTGGGTCGATTCGCAGTCACGACATCAAGCCATCACCAATCCCTCTGTCATTTCCAGTTTATAGGTTATTTGTGAAAACTTGTGAAATAAATCACGCCGCAGCGACCACAATCCAAATTGCATCATCAATGATATTCATGATCGTGAAAACCGCAACGCAACCGAAACTGCTATTTAAAACCTTGATATATACATATACATATACATAATAAGATGATAACATGACCATAATTAACATAAATAGATATATGCAAGGGCGAAATTTAGATATTGTCACGAGTCTTTATTGGAAATTTAGATTATTGTTTAACATGAGTTAAAATTTCGCCACCAGACTATTTTTTCTGATTCTGTCCCTAAATATGGGTATAGGCTTTATAACCACCGGACCCACAAGGGGAGTCTAGACTTTAGCATAAAATGACATATTAAATATAAGGGGTTAATACTTGTCAACCTTACTAGAATTATTATGAACTAACATGACTAATGCTTACAATTCCATATACTAAAACCATAGCTTATTATAGAAATCAATGCAAATTATGCAATGCAAAGGGATAGAGAAATAATAGATACCAGTGTGGAGTAGAAACTGTGGTGAACGAATCGTTGAGAATACCATTCAAGATTAGAAGCCATGTGACCGGTTAAGAGTGATATCATACCCAACACAAATAGCATAAATCCGCATACCATTGACAATGAAATTGGTTTCGTCGTGGATCTCCAACACACGTTCTTCTCATTCAAATTGGCTTGTTGTTGAAACAGAGCCACACCCATTTGATTAATTATTTGGGTTAAAAAAAACGAACCCAAAAATATCATCGTTTCGTTGATCGATTGATTGATTCAGTCTCAATTTCAAATTTTGAAACACCCCAATGGGCACTGAGACAGTGTAGTGCAGTAAAGTTGCAACTTTATCAAGGTTGGGAGAATTGGAGCAATGTGGGTATGAAAGTAGCTGGAATTTTTGGAATGGGTAAAATAAGAACCCTAATTTAAGATTTTTTTTAGAATTATTTTATTGTGAATGAAAATGAGAATCAGTTTGTGTGCATGTAAGTAGATTGTGAGTGGGAAAGATTGATGAAGAGATTTTGGCAAGGGGTGAGGATAACTTACTCTTAACTTTAAAAAACTTACTTCATGAATCTCCTCTTTGCCAAAAGAGGATTTCATTTTTTCAACTTTACTAGTTACCTCTTTAAGGTTAGGAATTAATCAGCTCACAAATTAAACATCTCAGTCATTATTAAGAGGAGAGATCGATTAATTTCAGTTGTAAGTTTTTTAAATTTATTCCACATCTTAGTTATTAATTTTAGGAAAATCCAATAGTTTGAATTAGTGGGTAAATCTAAACCATTAAATTTCC